CCTCGAGAACCATTCCTCAGCAGTCGCGTTTGCAACTGTTTAACTAAGGAGGCTAGGTTTGTTTAAGGGGGGAAAATCATCGAATGACTGCCCCCGCCTGGGTAAGGCGGGAGGGAGTCTCAGACTCTTACTGACTAAAAACCACCCCGTTCCTTCTCCTGCACGTCGAGCCGGAGCCCCGGTTACCCGTTAGGTTCTCCGTGACATGAAGGCTAGATCTAGGACTTACGGACAGACGAACAGACAATTTTATTGTTCACATTCCAAAAATGCCTGTTTAAGGAGTAATTAAAATAAATTCTACGACTTAGGTTTGATTTATTTTAATGATTCTGAGACTGACAAAACATAACATAACATCACGCCTTTTATCCCCGAAGGGGTAGACAGAGGTGCACATTATACAACTGTTCAATGTAACACCCACTTTTCACTATTTATGTTATGAGTCCCATGTAATAGGGGGTGAGCCTATTGCCATATACCGGGCACAATTTCAGACTCCATGCTACTATTTAGAAGATTGAACAAAAAAACCCAATAATACTTTGCCCGACCCGGGAATCGAACCCGAGACCCCTTGCCCGGCAGTCGCACTTACGACCACTCGGCCAACCAAGCAGTCTGCAACTAAACTGAGCAGCTGACAAAATTTAAGCATAAATATTAAAAGTACTTCTTTAGACCTAATATTATTAAGTATTATTTTTTGTACCGTCCATTTAGCACTAAACACTAAACACACAAAACCTCAACATTTAAAAAACAAACATAAGCAAACCAACATCTGAAATTAAAATCATAAGTGGCAACCTTCAAAAAAGGAACGCTGTTCAAAATTCTGAGCAAACCCTATTTGAACCCAGACTTACGTCACACTCTGTAGGGACACTTACGTACACATCTATGTAAATGCATGTGCATGGCTGTGTGCGTAGGGCGTCGTATCATATTGCTATTCCCTCCTTAAATTAGAATAAAGACCAGTCTTCATATAACGGTGTGCCGGGCCGGTACTTTTGTTAAACTTGCATTTTGTATGATAATTTCGTGTGTCTTAATGTGAACAATATAATTTACCAGTGGCGTTCTGAACTTTCATTTATCTCTGACATTCATATAGACTCAACCCCAAAATTGGTGACCCCGACGTGATAAAATAAAATAAAAACTCACGTCAACAGAACAGAAATATTCTACATATGATCGCGAATTACTTGCCATTTATAAATCTATTAGGTATTTCCGAAAATTATTTGAAGGAAGACCTTTGACAGTGTATACAGACCACAAAGCACTATGTCATGCATTTTCGAAAATAGGAAAAGACGATAAAGAAACTCCCCGGAGGACTAGACAACTTCTTTTTATAAGCGAGTTTACTGTAGATATACAACACATAAGTGGTAAAGATAACATTGTGGCTGATACTTTATCACGCATTGAATCAGTTTTGTGCCCGACTGTACTCAACTACGAACAACTTGCTGACGAACAAATGAAAGATGAGTACATATTGCGAATAATTCAAAGTTCGGATAGTAACAATAGTAATATTAAATTGAAGAAAATAATGTTACCTACGTGTAATAAGTCCGTTTATTGCGAAATTTCTAATGATATTATGAGACCATATTTGACCGATAAATTTAGGAGAACTGCGTTTGACAGTGTTCATGGGTTAAGCCACCCTGGTGTGCGTGCAACCCGTAAAATGATGGCCAAACGCTTCTTTGGCCGGGGATGAATCGAGATGTAGGTCAATGGGCTTCGGCATGCATACAATGCCAAAGGTCAAAGGTTAGTCGACATGTGATCTCCGGTTTAGGCGAATTTCCTAAGGCCAACCGATTTGAGCACATCCATGTGGATATTGTTGGTCCTTTACCACATCTCCACAGGGATTTAGATATTTAATAACCATCATTGATAGATGCACGCGTTGGCCGGAAGCATTTCCGGTGCAAGAAATTAGTGCAGATGTAGTTTCTAAATGCATATACGAAGGTTGGATTGTCAGATATGGCTGCCCCATTCGCATTACTACCGATCAAGGCCGACAATTTGAGTCGAGTTTGTTTCGTAAATTAATGATTTTTTTAGGAATACATAAGATACGCACTACGCCATACCACCCTCAAGCCAATGGCGCCGTAGAGAGATGGCATAGGTCTCTAAAAGCTGCACTCATGACTCGGTTGAACGGAAATACAACTTGGGTAGAAGAATTACCGACGGTTTTGTTTGGGCTTCGCGCAGCGATTCGTACGGATAGCCAAATCAGCGCGGCAGAATTAGCTTTTGGAAAAACTATACGTTTGCCAAGCGAATTTTATGACGGATCGCAAGAAACAGATTGTAATGATCCAAGTAGTTTGGTTGAGAAAATACGAGAGAATATCAGTCATTATCGTCCAACGAGAGATAGTGTAGACTCGCGTAAGATTTTTGTTTATCCTGCGTTGCAGGATTGCGAATATGTTTTTGTACGAGATGATAAGGTCCATAAATCACTTAAACAGCCTTACGATGGGCCATATAAGGTTTTAGAGAGATCTACGAAAGTATTTAAAATTCAGTTACCCGAACGCGAAGCATATATTTCAATAGATCGATTGAAACCTGCTTTGTAATTAAGGAAAATGAAAGTTCAGTAAGTAATAATGTACCTATCATACCCAGTGACGATTCCCGGTTGTCACATAATACACCACAGGTGTTGTTAGATAAGCATAAAGTAACACGATCCGGGAGAGTAATTCGAACACCCGTGCGATTTGCGTTATAGGTAGTCGTAGTTCTCATGAGAATAAATTAGTTCGTGACTCTTTTGGCACAGTAGGCATTTTCAGCAATGTCTGTTATTGAATATGCATTATCTTTCCTATGTTTATTTTATTTTAGGATTGTCATAATAAAGTTATATACCTTTGTAAAACTCATGTTTTTATATACACATTTATATTCAGGTATGCGTTACATATATACACATTCTTTTACATAAATCAGTAAACGAAGTCGCTGGTATGTTGGTGTATGCAAGTTATGTTTGTATAAATATGCAATTCGATAATTTTACTGTAAAGTTGTTTGAACAATGTGCTAGGTAAGATGATATTGTTAAATTTAAAAATAATTGCAACAACTTATGCTTACCTAATGATTCAATGAAAATGTTAATTTTATCGTTGTGAAACTAATTATTGCGAATTAACAAAATAATTTAGGTTACATTATTTGTATGTTATTTGTAAGCGTATATTAACTACGTTAGCATGTATTATTATTAAGAAACCAATTGTTAAACTTTAAAAGCCACTAAATTTGATTCATTTTGCCTTAGACTGTCTGTAAGAAAAGTTCTTATCAATTAAATTATGGGTAATTACAACTCTAAAGAAAATATAGCCGTAGCTCAGGCCCAAGTCAACACGGGCGAGCTGACAAATAAATTAAATAATATGGGGCTGTTACTGATTGTTTTGGCAACGTTAGTGGTGGGCGTAATCATCTTCGGGATGCGTCAACTTTGCCATCATAGAGTAAAAACTTGGCTCCGACGGGAAGTCGTCCTAGCCAATGTAAACCCGCCTGTGGTTCGTGTCCAGTCCGTGCCGCAGCAGCCGGCCACCGCCGCTGCTGCCCCTCCTAGCGCTGGTATCACCACGGCGTATATTTAGTGTATAGTGTAGTGTATGTGTGTAGTTTTAATTAATAGCACATTAATATTGTACTTTTGTAATTCCTTGTAGTTCTGTTTAGGTTTTATTTTTATTTAGAGGGGGAATGATGTAGGGACACTTACGTACACATCTATGTAAATGCATGTGCATGGCTGTGTGCGTAGGGCGTCGTATCATATTGCTATTCCCTCCTTAAATTAGAATAAAGACCAGTCTTCATATAACGGTGTGCCGGGCCGGTACTTTTGTTAAACTTGCATTTTGTATGATAATTTCGTGTGTCTTAATGTGAACAATATAATTTACCAGTGGCGTTCTGAACTTTCATTTATCTCTGACATTCATATAGACTCAACCCCAAAACACTCATAACCCAGCAAACGCTACGTTGTGTTGGCGGGGTAATGCTGGCCAGTATCCGGTTTTATCAGGTTTTATTGGCAACACTCCGCTCGCAGTTTCCCTTGCTGTTACGGAAAGAGGAACCCATTTTTATGTAGCCACAGACCCAACGTCGGCGCGTGTGGGTTAATGTGTGTGACGTCAGCGGGTTTTCGATTTTTAAAAGGGTAAGTTAGAAAAGTTTTAAGTGAAAAGAATTGTCTGTGGTTTAAAAATGTTGTTGTGACCATGGAGTCGTGTTGGTACTTGATAATGTATGGGTCGCGAAATTAGGTTAATGTGCTCCTGTTCAGTGGTTACGTGAAGTTGATTCGACTTTTATGTGATGGTAAATATAATTATATCGTTTTTGTTTTTTTTTTTTTTGTTGCGATAGATACGTAGGTAAGTTATTATTGTCATTGTATTCAAAAACAAAAAGGAGGTTTTCAGTTGACCTGTTCTGTGTGTATGTTGATGTGCAATTATCTCGTAATTGGCTAAACCGATTTTAGTGTGGATTTCAGAAAAGCATTTGTTACACTCGGAAGAAGGTTTTGTATATTAATTAACCGACTTCAAAATAGAGGGGGTTAAAGTAGGTTCTTTTAAACGTAGCTTATAAAAGAATTATAAACAATGTTCTCTAATCCAAATTCCATACTTTGAGCTTATGGCGAACCAAACTTATGTGGAGGTGTCTGACTAACCTGGGTGTCTACAAGGCCTGAGTGAATAGGTTGCTTATGGGACAAACGTCGTCCCATCAGCAGTGAAGTTTCACGAACTTTCTTTTTCATTTTAATAATTTATGTACACACAAACAGCACATTTATAAAATAAGAGTACATAGGTGCTACTTATTCCTGTTGGAATTTCTTCCAGAAGACCTGAGACAGGAAATGTAACTAAAACATAACACGTAGTGTCAAACAGAAAAGAAAAAAAAAACGACAGGAAATATGTATGTAATGACATATTCCTTAATGACAAACAAACTATGCAAGCCATAACAATTAAAAACAAAACTTCATACATCACAACACAAGCTAACTTAACACTAACCCGGAGACACACAGACAACATCACAAAAGCCATATTAGTGGCTAATTCAGCGTACAAAGGCTCACCGCAGCCGAAGCAACGAGCCACAAGTGGTACATACTCTCTCCATTATTCATGCAACATGCAACGACTGTTGCACGTACCGTTCGCCAAATGGTTGTATAATGCACGTAGGTGCTACACTGCATAGTGGCTAGTTTTTGGGAGTAACTTGTGCCGTATGAAGTCTGTGTGTCTATGTGTGTGTGACGTCAGCTTAATGATTCATGTAGATGAAATGCTTGAATTGGTAATGTGTTTTATGCGTCGGTATAGGAGGTTTTATTTTAGTTTTTTTAAGGGGCGAATATCGTTGAATGGCTTTTCCAGCCTGGGCGAGGCGGGAGAGAGTGTCAGACTCTTACTGACTAAAACCAATCTGTTCCTACTCCTGCACTTTGAGCCGGCGCTCCGATAACCCGTTAAGGTCTCCGCGGCTCCGTATCGGCGTCAGCCCTATTGAGCCCACTCTGTGGTAGTCTGATGGCTCTTTGAGGCGCGCGTGGAACACGACGCGCCGCACACTTGGATCTGGTTCTAGTCGGGCCGCGAGCTACCCATGCTTGCTGTCCGCAGGCCCGTGCTTACGGTGGCCGGAAATAGTCCCGCGATCCCCAACGCCCGGAATGTCCTTCGCAACGGCTGGGTTGTGAGGAGTCAGCGCATCGCATTCTCAACAATCGTCACATTCCTAATCTCCAAAAGATTGGTAACGCACTCGTAAAGCCTCTGGTGTTCCAGGTGTCCATGGGCAGCGACGATTGTTTACCATCAGGTGGTCCGTCTGCTCTTTACCGGCTTATCGCATAAAAAAATTAGGTACCTCAAAATTTGCAATTGCATAAAAACATCGTTATTTGAAACAAGTTTTACAATAAATAGTAATTACTTACAATAGTAAATAAAACAAATGTTTTAACCTCTGGTATGTCGAAGCGTAGTTCTAGACACAATGCGGTTTCCATTGTGTCTCGATCGACAGACAAAACGTTAATTGTAACTTTGGCAAAAATTTATCACTTCTACAATAAATATTTATAAAAATATAACATTCACTACAAAAAACCTGATTAACTACATCGATCAAACCCACCATTACAAAAATCCTCAATTACACCAAACCCACGCACATTAAAACCTACTTCCTTGTTCCACTTCACTGCACATCAAAAAGATACACTTTTGCGCAAAAACAACCCTTTTTCCGCCACTTGAACCTCGCACCTCTTTACCCGGGTACCATACGACCCGGGTAGCAACCGGTCCGGCTGACGAACGACCCATAACGACTTACTGTGTCCGACAACTTATTTCGACTCATTTCTAACCCTTGCCAAGTTCATAGCTACCAAAAAGTTGTGTGAATTTCGTAGGGTTAGAAATTGTAGTTGGAATTTTTTGTTGCGTATATATTTTTGTAGTTGGTTAAAGTGTTTTCTGTTGTCATGGGATTTGATTTTAAATACAATAACAAGGTTAGGATCTGCTATTTAAGTTTTAGTCTAGTGTTATCATTTTTACCAATAGAGTAGTTGCCAGAGAATGAAAATTAAAAATCTAATTAGTCCATCAGATATATAATGAAAAAATATTAGACACGTATTTTTGAATATTTGACAATTCTCCCATACTACCAAACTGTGAAATGTCAATTTTATTCTACTGTTTAGAATTAACTGATGATTGAAAAATCGGCCCTAAGAGTCATAAACATGACCAAATATAAGGGTTTTTTTTAAGGGGGGAAAATCATCGAATGACTGCCCCCGCCTGGGTGAGGCGAGATCGAGTGTCAGACTCTTACTGGTTAAAAACCAACCCGTTTCTTCTCCTGCACGTCGAGCCGGAGCCCCGGTTACCCGTTAGGTTCTCCGCGAAGTGTTATAATTTTTACCAATAGGGTAGTTGCCAAAGAATGAAAATTAAAAATCTAATTAGTCCATCAGTTAGATAATGAAAAAATATTAGACACGTATTTTTGAATATTTGAAAATTCTCCCATACTACCAAACTGTGAAATGTCAATTTTATTCTACTGTTTAGAATTAACTGATGATTGAAAGAGTTTTTTTAAGGGGGGAAAATCATCGAATGGCTGCTCCCGCCTGGGTGAGCCGGGAGGGAGTGTCAGACTCTTACTGGCTAAAAACCACCCCGTTCTTTTCCTGCGCTTCAAGCCGGAGCCCCGGTTACCCGTTAGATTCTCCGCGACTCCGAATCGGCATCAGCCCTAATAGGGCTCCATCCGTGATGGTCTAATGGCTCTTTGAGGCGCGCGGCACGCGACGCGCCGTACGCTCGGGTAAATTTAGGAGTTCAAGCTAATTAATTCCTTTAGTAGTTAATTTTATAACTGTCAATTTTGCCAACAAGTGACTAAAAACAATAAATACCGCAAAAGTAAACACGAAACTATTATCGCTAGCACGGTCCACTAGTTTTAGTGGCGGCCATTTTAAATTTATACCCGAATCCGGTTGTAACTGGTCCGGACCAATGCAAACTGGTTTAAAGTGGTTAATGAGATGGACATGCAATGTAAATGTTTGTCCTGTTTTACGATAGTAGTCGAGCGTAACATTTGATAAACAAATTAAAATTCGATACAGAATCATTATTATTGCTATTTAAAATACATAATACCTACTTACTCGCTTGTCCATGAGTACCAAAATTTATTACCAAATAGGATCATTCGCTGCAATTTTAAGAAAAGTATCAAGTTGTTACAGAAAATAATGAATATCTAAAGAAACTTTATCACTTAGGTAATTATAAACTAGTTGCTGATTGAAAGAAAGAAAGAAAGAAAGAAAGAAAAACCATTTATTTTGCTACGACACACAACAAAAATTTAGAAACACCGAAAAAAAGCCCATAGTGCGTCGCAGCGCAAGGAGTTTTTGCAATTCCTGGGCCATGCAAAGTAAATTATATTTAGTTTATTTTCATTATTGTCGGTAATAGCATGTAGACTAGTCGTCTTTTGGGACAAGCCCGCCATAATCACCCAAAACCGCTGGAACTCCTATAAGCCAGGGTCTACAGTAGATACAATCTTGAACTCACCGGAACACTGAAGTCTGACGCGTCCCAGAGACGTGAATAAGTGTCTTGGTTCCCACAACGAAATAAATCAGAAGATATTAGGAGGAGAAGAAAAAAGAGGAGTCTATTCGTCTATTTTTTCTGACCCCACGATCAAACACTTAGTTTTTTTTCTTAAACTTTGCCCCACCCTATGACTTTCTCCACATGCCACGCAAAATGATCCAAATCATCAAAGAGCGCAAGATTTTTTTTAAGGGGGGAAAATCATCGAATGACTGCTCCCGCCTGGGTGAGGCGGGAGGGAGTGTCAGACTCGTACTGACTAAAAACCACCCTGTTCCTTCTCCTGCTCGTCGAGCCGGAGCCCCGGTTACCCGTTAGGTTCTCCGCGACTAAATAATTAGTATTACGGTGTTTTTGTAAGAACGGTGATAATATAATCATTATTATGTATGTATATAAAGCGCACGATAGAATATCTCGGTCACGTACTGAGACATGACAGATACATGCTGCTTCATGTTATAATGAGGGGTAAGGTGGAAAGGAAGAGAAGCGCTGGACGAAGGAAAAAGTCGTGGCTGCGCAATATTCGGGAGTGGACTGGTATCAGCTCTGTGGAACAACTTTTCCGCCTGGCCAATGACAAGGACCAATTCAAAAAGCTGACGGCCAACCTTCAGTAATGAAGTGGCACCATAAGAAGAAGAAGAATGATTTTCTCCTATGTCGTGGGTGGGTCAATGAAAACTTCATAATGTAAGGAAGTATTAAATTATTACAATATTAAGGTATATGCCTGAAATCTGCTGAAATTCAGCGATACATCAAAGCCGTGTTTATTATTTAAGCACTAATGAACGCAAATTGATATATGTATGCGCTTGGGAGTATGTGGTGTAATGTGCAAGCGAAGCCGTACTTAATTAAAAAGGTTTTTTTAAACTAAAGTGACTTTTATAATTTTAACAAATTATTGCTAGGTTTTCATAATATTCTCAGTAGTAGCACGGAGTCTGGAAATGCGCTAGGCTCACCCCTTATTACATGGGACTCATAACATAAATAGTGAAAAGTGGGTGTTACATTGTACAGTGGAATTAAGCGCCGTAATGTGCACCTTTGCCTACCCCTTCGGGGATAAAAGGCGTGATGGAATATTATGTTTTTGAAAAAAATCCATAAATCATTCTCCAGGACACAGGAAGCTCAAAAAATAGTTTGCGAAATCGGTCCAGCACGGGTAATGCGGCGTCCAAAGCAAATTGGTATTCATTTTTATAAAAAAAAATCGATAACCTTGAGTTCTCGATATCAAAAGCGTGATATTTTTGTATGTATCGTCAAGTTAAAGTGAGCTCTATAACTTAAGATGGTGGCTATAAATCTCATGGACAGCTATATAAATCTCCGTATGATACTAGATGTCCCAATTTTCATAGAAAATAGAACTCGATACTCGATATAAATAAGCAGGTAAAAATTTCAAGCGATAATATTTTCGATGAAATATGATCGTAAATGGTTTTACCTAGGGTTGTTTGCTCAACAGATAAGTAGATGGTGACGATATCTTCCTTTTTAATCGACTTCAAAACAGGAGGTTCTTAGAACGACCTGTATATATTTGAAAGATGATGTAATGACAAGGATTGAAAAGGGAATGTTACGCTGGCTTGGACATGTAGAAAGGATGGATGAAAGTAGAGTAACGAAAGAAGTATACAGAGCGGATATGAATGGGGCCGTCGGTAGAGGGCGCCCTAGACGGACATATAGTGATCAGATTGGCGATATATTAA